GTTTATACATGGCGGCCATCTTGGACGCCATCTTGAGTTGATTTATATTGATTGTATCACATTCTAAATTGTCTGAAATGATTTACTGACCCCAAAATCCTGATATTGTTTTAAAAAGATTGCGATTATATTACAATTTGTAGCTGTTTTATGGTATGGCCGCCATCTTGGAAAAAACCACTTTCCAGTGGTCGGATTTTATAAGACTTTTTTATGTTATTTAGCACACTCAATACTACCAAAATCTGTTGGAAAACCTTTTGTTGCAATTTTTTGGGGGTTAAACCCAGTCTACTGGACTTATTTGTGTATTTTTTCATTAAGCCTCTTTAACCATGATTAATCATGGAATGTCGCTATATAAATTTGGTAAATAAATAAATAAAAAATACAAGAACTATTAAGGAAGAACAAAACAAGTACATTAGGACTAATAATGGTATAGGATTATAATTTCCACAGACTTTGACAATGGGTATTGTAACGTTATCTTGAGCACAGAAACCTTCTAGCACAGACATTTTCTTGATGTAGTATAGAACAAAGGTGCAGATCTCAATCTTCACACCATTCACCTAGGCTAAGGTCAGCATGAGATAAAACACAATAAAAGTAAAATGGATGAACATAGTGTAAGTAGGCCTAAACGTTGGACTGAAGAAAGACGACGACGTTAAAACATTCATTTAAAGCAAGCATATCATGAATTAGGGCCCTATATATTATTCTGACATAGCCACAATATATATAATGATACACTGGCGCGTTACCATTTACTGAGTTATTCATAAAAATAGACGTTAGCTGATTTATTCATGGTTAGGGTTGGGGGGGGGGTGGTGTAGAGCCCACTAATGTAAAAATCTACCACAAATGTCAAAACATTCTACCTGTCTAAAACATGCATATTTCTATTTGCTCTAATGTAACATTTTTCCCAAAAGTGAACGGAAATGGCATTTCTTACCTTTTAGACCCTAGATACCCAGCATATCCATATCTCAAAAAACGGTTGGCCATAGAAACCTGATTTTTCTGAGTACGCATCTATTTACTTTCAATGAAAATGTTGTCTACAAAATGCCGAAAGTGCTTGTATATTTGGTCTCTGGCCCTAGTAATGTTTGTTTTATTAAAAGGAAAAAGTGTTTCATCTACCTAGGATACTCTTGCGACTCTAATAATAATAGTAATAATAATAATAAGAAGACACTTGTGGACTAAAAGCGCATAATGCACGAAAAACTCCTTTTTTGCTTCACATTATATAATAAATAAAATATTTAGACAAAACAAATACACACACACAAACACGAAGAAATGGCACAAAAAAACTCAATTATGTGGCGATCAGCCACAAACAGGGCGCTCTTTGGAAGAGAGGGCTGTATTTATGAAAAGAAGAGAGGATAGGATAATAAAAGATGGCGGATGGAAACACATGTGTCTGTCTCTGTGTGTGATCTTTCACAGTGTATGTTATTGATCCCGGTCCTGGCAGAATCGCCACAACACTGTATACCGAATCTCTGAGGGGTCACCATCACCACCCTAACTCAACGCAGGACCCTATCTAGGTGGCTCGAGTAAAGGAATGTGAAACACCTTCAAGGGTAGCAGCCTGGTGCTTCACTAACAGGCCTATTTGCATTACTCGAAATTAATAAAATGCATATGAAACAATTGTTGTAGGTATTGTAATTGGAAGGTATCTTATCACAGAACTTTTCTGGTCCCCTGGCTTTCATTCATGATGGGCCACTTCGTTTTCATTAGTCCTAATGTAATCACTCTCGAATTGTTCCGCCTATTTTATGGGTCATTAGACCATTGGAAACTTATTCACTACACAAACTCAGACCCCCCACTAGATAAATGAAAACTATCAGATAATGTATTAGTACTCGTATGCTATTTCTGAATAAACAAGCAGAATACTTATAAAATAGTAAAATATAGTCGCAGAGCCAGGCTAGACCTACTGAGAATATTTCGGTTCTTTGCAGTGAAGTAAATCTAAAACGTATTCATGAAATCATCCAAAATCGTGTACAAAATAGTTGAACAAACTTTAAAGTATGTCCCAAAAGTATTTGTAGTGCAATTGTACTGTGGTACGAAGCTTACGTAAATTACCTAAATAAAGGAAATAGCCTTGAAATAATTCAAAGACTATTAAACTGTGCCATGACTTGTTGGAAAAGATTTGGTAAACAATCATCTTGCCCTCTGGCAGTGAAGCGGATCAGAAATGATGTATAGATTGCGGTTGACTACATGAAACTAGTCGTGGTTATTAAAACTTAAAAAAAATATTGACTCCGAGATTGACGCCAATAGAACAATCATCGGCACTATTTTCAGCGATTTAGAACTAAAAAGTATTGATGAAGTATGTTTACACAACATCATTCAAATCGTGTACAAAATATTTAAAAAAAAACTAATAAAACAACATCGTGCGTGCCGACATTACAATTGCTTTTGAAATATCTTTCAAAGTTAATTTTGTAGAGCATGGTACCAGAGTACGGATTGTATTTAGTATATACCTGAATAAAGAAAATAATCTTGAATTCAAAAGATACGAAGCAGTTCATGTTTTGAAGTTCATCAGAACATTGAAAATGCAATAATCAGTACATGGATGTTTCAGCTTTATAAAGGTATAACCAATTTCCCCGGGTCTCACTAATTAAGCCCCGGGACTATCGACTTAAAAATAGATTTTTAGAAAAAAAAATAGAATTCTACTCCTCAACCTATTTCAGCAACCGTAGAAAATGATGAATTTGAAAACAGGCAAGATTGTCGATGTACAGCTAGTACAGGTAAAACAGTTATTAAATATATTGTTTAAGAAGAAACTTTTAAGGGAGCATTTTCTGTTCACCTGCCTATTTATATACATTATTACTCAATTTTAATTATATTGTAAATTTCTACATTTTATATTATAAATTTACATGTGAATTTAAAATCACTATATTTTTTGTATGTTTTTAAAGCAAACACATAAAAGAATTATACTATTACTGTATTTGTTTGTAGTCTAATGAAGTTTCTAGCAGTACAATGGAAAAGGGCTGGTAAGAAGCATTCCATCTTACAAAAAGGCTTAAACAAGAAATTGAAGACAGCTGCTATTCTTTCCAGTTGCACATCAATTAAGCCTTGGATACAAAGCATTACCAACCACTTGTACTGGTGTGCTATATCCACACCTGATGAGAATGCCGAATTAAAAGTTGCAAAGTGGAAATCAATAGCAAGCTACATACAAAATATTCATTCTGGATATGACGACCTATTTCCGGAGTGTCTCCATGGTCCGCTGGTTGGCCGAGAACGTAAAAAGAAATGGATGGTGCCAGGTAAATAACTACAACTAACTGTATATTATTATTACTAAAGCATAATTTGCAGTACTGTATTATTGTTTACTGTAACATTATTTGATCAATTCTATTTCAGGAAGCAAGGTCACTCAGGTCCTCTTGCCTATAATATTAAACCCCAGGCTGTGCCAAGATGTGAAAATTATGAGTGAAACATTTCAGACATCGAAATTAGAAGCATTCCACTCAAATTGAATCATTTTGCTCCAAAAATGAATAATTTTTCATATTGGGGTCAAAAGTGCAGGCAAGTTGATACTTTAATAAGTGGTATTCCACTGAATGATCTTGTATTTGTTGTTTTACATTGTTTATATTGTTTATTGAGTAATAAAATGTGTACTTAATATTATTAGGTCAATCTTTATAAATGTCATTTCCGGTCACTTTTGGACAAAACATTGTATTAATGCAAATAGAAACATGTATGTTCCAAAAAAAAAAATAGACCAAAATTGAGTCTCTACGTTTATCCGTTACCAAGATATATGGATCCCTTCTTTCAGAGGGCCTTATAATTCGAATTGGCGGCCATAGTAGGCGTCAGAAACTCTTGGCAAACAAATTTTGTTTTAATCTACACATATTAAAGATATTTTGTGCCAAGTTTCATGCTTTGGTAATTAAGTGCACAGCTTGGGCCTTAGCTGCTAAAATGCACCACTTGATGCTTTAGCTGCTCTACTATAGCAGTTAATTAGGGTCTTTCAATATTTTAAGGATTTAAGTGCTTACGAAAATGTTTACATTTGCAGTTGACTTGTTATGACATTTGAGGTAAAAATGGAAATGTTTACATTTGTAGGTGAAATTTTACTACATTTTTTCTCTTTAGGCAAACGTACTATACCATTCATCCATGGTCTCAGAGTACAATGCACTATAAAATGCCTTCTAAAAATAGTATACATATACATTTTGTTTGACATTGTTCAGGTTTCCTGTATCGTTGAAAGATAGTCACCATAAGTAAGTTATAAAGCGGACAAGTTCTGGTGAAGATACTGATGTAAGGTTATATTACGTTATACTACTCATAGGTTTGTTGATTTACGTAATTCCAAAAGTATACTCATTTGTATTTTGACTGTTTAGTAAGTAGAGTGATTGCTCTATGAGCATTTAAAGTAAACAGTTAAAGTCAGGGAACAGTTCCCTGGTTAAATACAGCATTAGGTATGCTTATTATTAATAATGAATAATTTCCTTATACTGTAGAATAACATTTTATATATAATATATTATATATATAAATATAAATGTATATGTATAATTATATATATATATATAATAATAATAATAATAATAATAATAATAATAATAACAATAATAGAAAGGTATGTCAAGCGTGAATTTGCTCTACAGCTGTTTCAAGCAGTAGCAATCTTCAGGAGTGAGAGCATAGGAAGATAATGGATATGAGGTTCAGCAGGTGTATTATTATTATTGCGCTCTGCATTCGCATTGAGCACTATACGTCGCTGATCTTGATCCTGTAACCCCAATGAATACGGGAACCAGTATACACAGAGCCCACTTCCACATTACACAGAGACCTATACCCACATTCCTTACTTCCTTGTCACATCTCCAGCGCATCGATAAGAACTCTATTCAATCTCCATCGTTTATTAATTCGAATTTTATGTTTAATCCGACCTCTACTACTGGCTCTTTTTAGGTAAGATTTGTATTTTTAATTATTGTTTAACTTTTAGTTTAATTAAGCGTATGTTTATGTTATTATTAGACAAAACTGATTAGTATAGATGTATAATACTATACTGTGTTTTAGTTATGCATTTAGTAGCGATTTGTTTAGGCTAGAGGCCAAGCGAAGAAATGTTGAAGGACGTTTTAGGCAAAGCACAGTTATAATGTGCATAGGCTACTGTAAGCATTGGGACGGTGACCCAGGCTGTTCGAATACCAGTGAATAGTTGTATAGCAATTTTAACATAATATTTAAGAATTCCGTTTTAATTGTTATATCCATGATGGACTTTCGTCCTATTTTAATATTTTAATATTGTTACTATCGTTTTAATAATTGTATGCCTATATGATTATCAATTCGAAATATATCTTTACCATAAGATAAGCTAAATAAATGCTCTGATTAATAAAGGGATCAATTGTTATTATGAAGTCTTATATCACGCTATGCTGGTAACCTATATGTATATGTATATGTACATGTATATATATACGTATATGTATATGTATATGTATATATATGTATATGTATATGTATATGTATATATATATGTATATATATATATGTGTGTATATATATGTATATATATATATGTATATGTATGTATGTATATATATATATATATATATACATATATATTGTGTAATACAATGTAGCTGACGATTATTTGAATCTGTTTAACCATGAAGCCTCTGCGGTCAAATGGCTATGATGCTCGCCTTGACAGCGAGGGGTCGCAGGTTCGAATCCGTTGGAGGAATAATTTTTATTACACAATGTATTTTTTTACAGGACAACATTCGTTTAAAAAGCAGCTTAAAAATATCTTATTGTCATGAATTTGATTCAGCCTGAAATTACAATAGCACGGTTTCCTTTAAACCTAAATAGATAATAAAATACCGTAACTTAGAAAAGTTAAGATACAAAGTAAATATATGCATTGATATTACCAAGCCTTTCACTTCAGGCAGTGCATTAACCAGCGCTGGACCACTGGGGCTTCTTTATAAATTTTATCATTATATAAATAATAAATAAAAAAATAGGACATGAAAGATTTATATATTTTTAAATTTATTTATTTCTTCTTTAACCTGGGTGACTTGATCAATGCAAAAACATTGTTATCATCCAGGACCCAGCAACACATACAATGAAATACAATCAAATGAAAATAATCATTTCGTTATTTATACTCTCAAATTTGATATTGTGTTATGTTATGTTACCAACATTGATATTTTATTCATGCAACTACAGTTAAATCATCTTTCAATAAGGAAACCATTTAGCAGGCCTATACGAGTTAAATAGGTTTAGTATAGTTATTAGCACGTGAAACATGCTTTCCCTCTTTACTTTTAGTTCATTGTTTTTACAGTTGTATAAGGAGTTAATCATTTCATCATGGTACGATTTATGTTTGACGTCATATTGCTCCTGGAACTCCACGCCTACCTAGTGTCATCTCGTGGCATCATGGATAGGACTATGCCAACTAACATTAGCTGCCAGTTGGACATTGAAGGAGCTAAAGCACTGGAAGTCGTCCAGAGAGAGGGAAGTGTCTACATCAACATGAATTTGAAGTTTGTAAACTCATCCGGCATCGAAATTGATCAAATCCTGAATGAAACTAGTACGATCGTCAACATTAAACGCTGGGTATTAGCCGTTGGACCCAGGGGTGTTCAACTATTAAAATACCCACATAACGTTGTGCACCTCTCTCTTGGTACACTTAAGCCGGGTGTGCAGAGAGTGTCGCTGAACGTGTTATTGTCAGTGGACTGTTTCCTGAACGCTGATGATGATAAAAAGCTTGATATAATTGCAACATCACTCGCAAATTTCCAATCAACAGAGGGCTTAAAACTGGACCAGGCTATTTGCTTGGAACAGTTATTAACTCCAGTTTCTATAACTTCCCCTGGGGAATTTTATTTCGATTGTTGGCGACTTGTAATAGGGAATGAGTATTACAGAGACAAGACAAATATCAGGGTTGTTGGTTTTTTAAGCCTTCTTGTAATATTTTATCTCAGTTACTTCCTTCTGTCGTTCCTTTGTCCAAATCCACCGTTAATAATAGGCCTATTACAAAGTGAACTGACAGAGTATATAAGCATAAATACCGATCTCAATATTGGTGTTAAATACGTTCTATTTTTTGCAGGTAATGAATGCTGCTGTTCTATTTTGTATATTCTGCGTTGCCTTGTTTATTTAAGCCTATGGCAGTATTTGCCATTGACTATTAACTATATTTTAGTCGATGAGGAATACAGATCCACTGATTTCTTCTATGTATCAGTAATCTTTAATCCAATTACTATAGTGTGTACAACAGTGGCTTTCTACATGTATAAACGCTCCACCAAACCCTTTCTCTCCAATCAAAATTGGGTTCAAATAATACTTAGACAACTTGATAATAGTTCCACGCTTAGCAAATTAAATGAATCTTTCGATATAAATAATGATCCCACTTCACACTTAACTATGTTTCAAAAAACAGTAAATGATATAAATCAGATAATGGTATCATTAGTAACATTGGAATTTTGGAAAGGTATTTGGAAAGAAACAGAATATAATAATTGGACATGGAATTCTTTTGCTTTCGTTTGCAAGTTTATATCTATTATAATGTTAATTAATCCGTTAACATTGATCATTTTACATTTTGCAGATTCAATGAAAAAAAGTTATTGGCGCTTGTTAATACTTTTTCTATATTTCCTTTTTGTTTACGTGTGGTTTGGGTTTTCAGTGTACCTGGTGGTGAATAACCTCTTGCAAATTCTGTATTACTTCTTCATAGGACTGTTAACAAACTCCTCTTATATTTTTAACGTTGTTTTTGTTTCTTTTCTTATCATTGTATATTTTCTTACCACTGTAACTGACTTAAATGCCGGTTACGTAAAATTTCTGAGACAGGTTATAGATTCAATGGATAAAGTTGTTGAAAAACATACAGCAGAGCCAGACCAAGCACATGTCGGTGGCAATAGTATTGGCCAACATTCTCACATTTATGTAAAGAGAAATGGTCTGATGTACATTAAAAAAGAGTTTTTTTATGAGATTGTCAAAAAGTACAGACCAATAGGTCCTAAGACTGTGATTATGCTTGTAAAGTTAGCCGTAAGTGGTTTGGTTATATATATTGCAGCTGATACATTGGAATCTATCGACCAAATACAGAGCTTAAGCGTTGAAGTTAGGTCAATTCCTGTCATTTTAATTCCTCTCGTTATTCCGTTTTTCTGTAAACTTATTAAGAATGAAGCGCAAGAAGAAAACGAAATAGAAGTGATAAAAGCTTAGTGTGTACAACAGTGATTTTGTACATATATAAACGCTCCACCAAACCCTCTCTCTCCAATAAAAATTGGATTCAAATAATACTTAGACAACTTGATAATAGTTCCGCGCTTAGCACAGTAAATGAATCTTTCGATATAAATTATGATCCCACATCACACTTAACTATGTTTCAAAAAACAGTAAATGATATAAATCACAAAATGGTATCATTAGTAACATTGGAATTTTGGAAAGGTGTTTGGGAAGAAACAGAATATAATGATTGGATATTGAATTCTTTTGCTTTCGTTTGCAAGTTTATATTTATTATAATGTTTATTAATCCGTTTACATTGATCATTTTTCATATTGCAGATTCAATGAAAAAAAGTATTTGGCGCTTGGTAATACTTTATCTATATGTTTTCCTTTTTGTTTACATGTGGTTTGGGTTTTCAGTGTACCTGGTGGTGAATAACCTCTTGCAAATTCTGTATTACTTCTTCATAGGACTGTTAACAAACTCTTCTTATATTTTTAATGTTGTTTTTGTTTCTTTTCTTATCATTGTATATTTTCTTACCACTTTAACTGACTTAAATGCCGGTTACGTAAAATTTCTGAGACAGGTTATAGATTCAATGGATAAAGTTGTTGAAAAACATACAGCAGAGCCAGACCAAGCACATGTCGGTGGCAATAGTATTGGCCAACATTCTCACATTTATGTAAAGAGAAATGGTCTGATGTACATTAAAAAAGAGTTTTTTTATGAGATTGTCAAAAAGTACAGACCAATAGGTCCTAAGACTGTGATTATGCTTGTAAAGTTAGCCGTAAGTGGTTTGGTTATATATATTGCAGCTGATACATTGGAATCTATCGACCAAATACAGAGCTTAAGCGTTGAAGTTAGGTCAATTCCTGTCATTTTAATTCCTCTCGTTATTCCGTTTTTCTGTAAACTTATTAAGAATGAAGCGCAAGAAGAAAACGAAATAGAAGTGCTAAAAGCTCGCATAAAAGAGGACATTAAACAAAGACTACTACAAACTGAAGAGGACAGTGAACGAAGCCAAGAAGCTCCCATTAAAGACGACCGTGAACAAAGCCTACACCCATACGAAAATGAAACTCAGGTTTAAACGGAATATTCTGGTTTCATGTGTGTTAAGCATAATCCTTAAAAATAGGTCTCCTTTATTTGGATCCAAAAACCAAAATAAGTATTTGTTTAATTGATTGTAATGCGAGTGTAAGTAGGATTATGTTATATGCATGTAGTCTTAATCGCAAAATAAATGGCATATGATTATCATGTATTATGATGAAAATTACTTAAAATTTAATATTTACAGTCTATTAAGTGTTTGCTTTTGCTTTTGTGTTTGATAGAATACATTGAAAACAATGTCACACTGTACATTCTATCCGGTGGCGGTTTCACAGAACACATAGATGTAAATGTTCTATCTAAAAACTTCGTTCAGTGAGTTTCGGATGCGTTACCCTAAAAAACGATGAGAAAAACACAAACCAGAACGTTAATATCTGTTGTCATTTTTCACTTAGTAGCAATAAGAAATATTAAACTTAAAAACTTGAGTAACTTCCCAAATTATATTTTAGTAATCATATAACCACTGTTTTCAAAACGTCATCAGATTTATAAAAAAAAAACCCGAAACCACGCCCTCTAATGGCCACGCCTTATAATTAAAACGGTCACAGTTGATTAAAATAAAGTGACCACATCCAGTTCATAGTCTCGGGTTCTTCTTATTAAGGAATATCATTTAAAGGTCTATAATACACACTACCAAGTTTAGTATGACAATATCTGATATGATATTGGGCATGATATTGTAATATCAAATTTGCATATCTGCAAATCAAAGGTATTTGTCACACAGTGCAGACAGCGATTTAAAGTATAATGTATCCATTAATTGATAGCGAAGCTAATGTTGAATCGAAGTCACCATTATTATATGTTGAAAATTATAATCATTATTGTTGTTTCTACCATTGTTATCAAGTCTGGTTTAAAATAATAATCAATCATTTAACAAGTACCTTGAATGTTTTAATAAGTACCACGGCGTTTATTCAATTTTTTGTTGAGTGGGGCGTTTTTTTTTTTGTTTTTTTTTATGCCTTACATATCTGAAGCTATGGAAAAAGGAAACAAATAATCATTGAGGGACTCGCATTTACTTTATATTTTACTGTAGTTTTTAGAATACCATATAGAATATATAAGTTACTTTTTGACTGCATTATTGTGTGATTCGTGTGTTTAATCCTGTTTTTTGCTGCTATGAGGAGATTGTATGCACCCTTTTCAAGGTACTGTACATAATACGCCATGGTCACATCTCCATGGCAACATACCATATAGAATATATAAGTTAATTTTGACTGCATTATTGTGTGATTCGTGTGTTTAATCCTGTTTTTTGCTGCTATGAGGAGATTGTATGCACCCTTTTCAAGATACTGTACATCTGTCTCTTATACACATCTAGATGTGTATAAGAGACAGAAAAAAGAGTTTTTTTATGATACCTTTAACAGTTATAGGACTAATACAATTTGAAACCAACATAAGGAAAGCTAAGCCGCTACTTTAACTATTTTAGCACCAGTTTTACCTTATCACATCATGCTCACGCATACAGCCAACCACAGATGGATGTTTAAATTTTTAACTAATACAACACGATAAATGTGGGTAATAAATAGGCTAAGTGAACACGTTTTGATGGTGACTAAACACGCCATAATGTGAATGTAAACTACGAGGGCGCCAGTACTAACTTCAATATGATCAGAACAATTTCAATAAAGATATGTTTAAATGCAAGATTGTGATGTATAGTGTAGTCGTCAAAATGACAATCATCTTTCTATTTACACTCAAAATGGTGCTGCAGAAACTCGTTTTTAATAACAACCTAACATCATATTCTAGTACTACAGCACCAGCAACAAATTACATAGAAAGTAAGGAAAAATTCAAAATCTAATACTTTTTTTTATAAGGAGATAAAAAAAAAACCCCACATACTTACAACTATTAGAAGAACTTAAAAATTAAAATTATGAAAATAATAAGTTTTACTGTTCTGTAGACTTCGTAAATAATAATGGTGTTACAATATTACAGCGTATGAAAGAGTAACAATTTAATATTTTATAAATTTTACAAGAGGAAAATTCTCTTTAAAAAAGTCTAGAGAGGCAGAAAATTTATTCTTGCTCTATTTATTACGGTACTGAGTTAAAATGGTGGCTCTGTTGCAAAACTAAGAATTTTGGAAAAGTTACATCTAGTGTTTGTGAGATTTGTTAGTCACAGGTTGATAACATATTGATATTTGGGCGCATCAATGAATAAAACAATAAAAAAAAAGTTAAAATATATGCAATAGTTTAAAAACATGTATATATTGATGTTTGTTAATGTAACTAATTGTGTTATGATTGTTACTATGTATTTATGATAAAGAAAGTGGTGATTCACCATAAAAGGCAAAAAAACCAATTTAATATTTAACTTCATTACAGTATAATAAAATATACCGGTATGAAAAAGATGGGATGAAATAGCAATTTGTACATCATTTACATTAGACAAGGCTAAACCAAAGAAAATCTGCCTTTTTTCCCTGTTAGCAGTTTCAGCACCTAACCCCATTCTATTTGAAGTTGGGACCACCCAGATTTTTGCATCAAATCCAAGATGGCCGCCTTCGATTGGTCTTAAAAGGATTAGGACTGAGAGAATAAATCCACTGAAAAAACATTGACAAAACCGAATAATTTACTGTATAGCTCTAATAATTATAATTTTTGGTGGCAATTTTAAATTTTGGCGCCCATATTGGACTTGAGGCCAAATTCTTGGTGGACCTTGATTGATCTTGAAAGGTTTTAGTTAAAATTATTAGGAACAATAGGCTGGTTCAACTATTACATATGTGAATTTCATCCATGTATTTTTGGCACAACCCAAAAGAGACCAGTATCCTGATTTCCCATGCATTTTTCCTGGATCTTTTGCCTACCAGGGTAGGGTGCCGCCAGCGTTTCAGATTGGCCAATGTAAACATTGTAAGAGGTCTATTGTATTGGATTTTCTATTTTCATTTACATCCACATAATAATAACAGCTGCATTAATAAAAAAAAAATTAAAATAATATTATTAATAAGAAATATAAAAAGCATTATAATGAATATAACAGGCTAATGATAATAACGATATGGTCATGACAATACAAACGACATAATAATGACAACACTAATGATTGATAGACATATTAAATATTCTTTATATATATTTGTATAAATTTAAATGTATAAGCTTAAATGTATATAAATCATGAAAAATAGATAAAATGTTAAACACAGTCTTTTTTAAAAATAAAAAATACGAAACGAATACTATATGTATGGACTTTAGAAACATGTTATTGTAGAAAACCTATGTTTTGACACTAACAGTCATGCTTTATGACATTTATGGGTTTTTTTCTTTAAGAAATTTGAAAACAAAATGAAGCATCAAAATAGGACAGTAAGAAAAATAATTAATAATAATAATAAATAATAATTTAAAGATATCATTCCAGCATTAATGAACTTGGCCTAAGCCTTGTAATATATTATATAGAGTATATTTGCCAGCTTTATTTGCAGAGAACTACACTAATTTCTACTAAACTAATTTCTAGGCCAAGGTACTTAATTATCTAAAACCTAGGCCAGTAAAAAATAAAAATGTTTACAGTATGTAACTAAAGTTCAAATAACACTTTTTTTATGACTCATGCAGCTCAATGACTCGTGCAGCTCAAACAAATAATAAAATGTACATTTAAAACTCTCCATTAATTATTAGCAATGTATTTTTAAAAATCCGATGGCGAGATACTCAGATACTTTTTAAACTTTTGTAGACTGTAGACATAATAGGCTTATAAAGTTGCAGTTCACTTCAATGTTGATCTTTGGTTG